GCTTCCCTCTGCCAGTAAAGGAGTGAACTCCTATCAATACTTGGATGAACCAGTAGCGTAATAACTAGTTTTCGTCAATAGACTTCACTAAAATGTCAGTTAATCGTTTCAATGTCAGTTAATCGTATACAGTGAGAAAAAAAATCAAAACTGACCATTAGCATTGAAAGGATAAAGCCTTTGCCTTTGGCCTAAACCGTTATAGGGTTCTATTCAGAACGGTGGCGGATTTGACTCCGTTGAAGGCCAGTGCTTAAGGAATGTACGCTGCGAAGAACATCCTAACTAGGTATCAATGTTTTTATTGTCCAGGACAGGTGTGCTCAGGAGGTCGTGCCATTGTGAAAGATTTTCGTGCGATAGGACTCCCTCTAAAAGTGATCCTGCTGTGGAGCAACTTCCCTCTCTCAGCCTCCATCTAACCACCACTTTTCGAATTCTCCAAACTTCTTTCTACTTTTCCGAAGAAATTTCCTGATTTTTCCCCCAAAATCCACCGTCATAAAGCCAACAACAGAAATATAATATTTTTTTATCAAGGCGAAGACGATCCCCACCTCACTCGAGCAGCTGAAGATGACTCCCCTTGCTGAGATCCGAGACTAACGGCGTGTCCTGGGTGTGCTACCAACTAACGGACCCACAGGAAATGGTAGGCTTGGTATGCCAGGGCACGTTTTTATCACTCGGATCACTGAACTATGGGTCTAGCAGTTGTGCCACCTGTCGGAAGTTAAGCTTACTCGCTAGTTATGAACACGTGAAAATCCCTTCCGTGGTGAACCCTACCTGCACCATGCCTGTTGGAACTACAGTAAGGACAAGGGAATCTTCTTGCTTTGTTGCGTCTAGTGTGCCTCCTACTACTCGCGCACAGAAACGATCGTCTTTCATTGTTTCGGTCCACGCAGGAACTCGTTACGTGCCTTTAGTGGAGGCAACTAGAGACACAACACACTGCTGCTTGTGCGAAGTTTCTGCAGTAAGATATCATCAGCGAATGGTCAATCGGGAAGCTGAATTTCCAGTCAAGTAATCATTCCATCAAGTGTCGGTTGTGACCACGGAACCAAGATAAAGTTCCTCCGTAGAATCGCGGTCCCTATTCTGTTAGAAATGCTTCCAGTATTTCAGAACAGAAGAATAACCTTACAGTTGTGGTTCGAATCCGGCCTGAACCCATATAAAGTTCGAGTCGCAGTACCGGGAAAATTCGCTTCGCGTCCTTGCTCAGCGCCCTAGAGAAAGGTTTCTTGCTGCATGTTGCGGTAATCGCGTACTCTGTCCTTCAAGAATTCAGACCTAACTCTGAATCGCTCATAGAATATTGTGTGGAAATAGACAGCTTTCTGAGAGTTTATGAACATAAATACATATCATAATGGTGCCGGCGTTACCTGTCCCAACACACATCGCCAGTACCAATAATAGCTAAAGCTGCAACATCACCGCTGGTATTCCATTTTATAAAAATCTTGACTATAACGAGTCCATTATAGGTTGACATTCCGGCATTTGATTGGCCAATTGCCAAATTCCCTCGTTACAAATACCCGTTGGCTGACAACAAAGCATATAATGATGCCCAAGACAAGGAATGCCTGAAAGACGTTCAGGAAAAAATAGCGGAATGGAAGAAAAAGGTAGTTTTACTGGATTCATTTTTCTCGTAATTAGTGTATAGCTGGAGCCTAATGAAAAGGCATTAGAAGGTTTCTTTGTGTGGAAACTGTTACTTTTTGAGAGAAGGAGCCCTACGTGGGTCGGTCAGTTTTAAGTGCGGTAATTTTGATCGGATGATCTGATACCTGTTTTGTACGGGGCTTTTTAAATGCCCCTCCAAGATTAATGGGGCTTATATCTGTTATGAAAGCCTTGGGGACTTCTATTTATGATAGAATTCCCTGGGATCCTCGTCAAAAATCCTGCCGACTGTCTGACCAGCGGATGTGATACAACATGAGTCGATTCCAGTACGCACAGGGTCCTAAGTTCTCATGGCTGGCTTGCTTCCTCTCCCCCCCCCCTTTCCTGCCTTCGTTTTTTTCTCAGAACTCAAATTCAGACGATTCATTCGGCGTATCTGACACATTTAGGATCACGATGTGGCTGCAATAATCGTGGAACCTATTCAAGCCGAGGGCGGAGACAATTACGGAAGCCCTGCCTTTTTCAAGGCACTGCAGAAGATCGCAGCCGATAACGGCGTTGTCTTCATAGTCGACGAGGTGATCTAATTTTGTTGAACAGAGCCCCTCGACATGCTACTTATTTAATTTGAGTGAGAACTCGCGCTGTCCTAAAGCAAGTGGGTTGCAAAGGATCAGTTCGATATAGGAAGGATTACTTATTAGGAAGCGAAGTAAAATTACATTTCCCTCTTTCACATTCCTTCTTCCTTACTTTTGCTGAAATAAAAGCTGCCCTGAAAAATGAGAGCATGCAGCTCCTATGTGAAACTCATTAGCTTTTCATCCATTCGAAGTAATTCTCTAGTTTTCGATATATAACTCAAAAATACGAAGCAAGGTAGCCAATCCAGATTAAATACGAACAAGAAGAAGATAACTGACTTGTCAGAGCAGGAAAAAAAAGTAGGATGATTCACCCTTAAAACGCCCCAGATAGAACCCGTCTCATTCCATTTGGTTTTGTGTGTTTGACGAGAATCCAAGGGCGAAGAATCACTGAAGCTCAGGTAAGCACTGTAGACGGGTAGCTGAACATAAATAGACGACAGACGCGGTCCTTTAAGGTATGGCAGCGGCCCGCTGCGTGGCAGCGCTCTCTTCAGAAAAAAAAAAAAAAAAAAAAAAAAAAAAAAAAAAAAAAAAAAAAAAAAAAAAAAAAAAAAAAAAAAAAAAAAAAAAAAAAAAAAAAAAAAAAAACAGAGATTCTCATAGTACAGGCCCATTCTCTTAGTCCCTTCACTTCGGAGCCGCAAGAGTGGAACAAACTGTGGGCAGTTCGGCGACGGAGGGTATTTCGCACCTTTGCTACTTCCCATCGCCGTCTAGAAAGCCATTTACAAATCTTACAAAAGAGCTTGAGAGGTTTTAACACAGTGGTTCGACGAGCTTGCTACAGCTTCACAAGAGCACGAATTTTACGAGAATGAGACTTATAAACTGCATCTACTGAAGCAGCGAAAGTGCAAAATGCCACGTGCCCCCCCCCCCTCCTCCCTCCCGTCGCTGAACTGCGCCACAAAACATCTGACAGGGCTACCTTCTACATCAAAGAGATCTACCCATAAAATGAACGCGGAATGTGTCTTTAAATGAAAGATTTTATAACTTTGATGCAAACCCGCCTATGTTCGTATCGCACAATTTTAGCATCTAGCAGCAATGAAAAATAGTCCGATCCTCTGTTCAGGTCCAAACTGGTGGTGGTGGAACGGGTGATATGTGGGCACACAGCCACTGGAACCTCGATTCACCTCCTGATATCGTTACATTCTCGAAAAAACTTATCACTGGTGGATATTTCTACAAAGAGCATCTTCGTGTGAAGGAGGTAATTTGTAACTCATTTTCGATGGAATAAACTCTGGCAATTTTTGTTAAATTTTCCTTTCAGGGATACCGAATTTACAACACCTGGATGGGAGATCCATCAAAGCTGTTCCTCTTAGAGAAAGTGATCGAAGTCATTAAACGGGACGACCTCATCAACAAAACTAAATCAGTGGGGGAACTTTTCCAACAAGAACTTGCAAAACTACAGGTGATTTTTGGTTCCTTCCATGAAAATTCATGCTCCCCGTAAAATCCCTGTTAGACTGACCCTTTATCATTGGGCGAGGACAGCCCGTAGAAACATACAAACTGATCATGAAGATGGTAACTATTTGAATTACGAAACATTCCTTCCTAGAAGCGGAGTGCAGTAAATGTGGTTGAATGCTTAATTTCAACGTG